TTAGTAGAAAAATTGGTGGCTTTTGTCTGATTATTTGGAAATAAACCGGACCAATACAACTATCTGCCTGGTCAGTCTCTGTACCGCCTTGAAGTTATCAACTACGGTGATATCTTCTATGGATGTTATCTTATCCAGGTTGATCTCTATTCCCCGGTTAGACACCATAAAATAAAGGAACTTTCCCGAGCCGATGAAGATACACTTCTCCAGATTTGACTTCATGTTGTATTTCCTCTATATGTCGAAGGTTTACTACAAGTATTTCAAATGGTCCTCTACTCGTAGGGACTTAACTAAAATATCATCACTATAAACCTCCATTAATTTTCCTATTTGTTCCTCAAACATTTGGTTAACTAGGCATTAATACGTGGCACCATATTTTTTAATCCGAAAGGCATCACATTGTAACAATATGTGCCGAATTTAGTTATAAAAGAAGTCTTCTCTTGGTCACCCGGGTCCATCCGTATTTTTTTATACTTTGAATAGGCATCGAGAAAACGTAGCGTCTCATGCCCGGCCATTGCATCGATCATTCGATCGATGTTAGGCAAAGGAAACGAATCCTTAGGGCATGACTTGTTCACGTCCTTATAATCTACACATATTCTAAGCTTATTTCCTTTTTTAGGCACAACCACTACGTTAGCTAGCCAATCCAGGTATTTAACTTCCCAAATGGAGCCTATTTTTAAGAGTTTAGATACCTCGTCTTTGATGAATGCGTTCTTGATTTCGGACTACGACCTTTTCTTCTGTTTGACCGAGTAGAATTTTGGATCAAGCTCAATTTGTGAGTTGTCACCTCCGGCGGGATCCTTGTCATATCTAAGTGGGACAAAAGCAAAACAATCAGCATTAGCTTGAAGGAAATCATTAATTTTTTTCCTGAGCTCGGGGGTTAACCCCGTGCCCAGGTATACCTTTTTGTCCGATAGATACTCGATCAATATGACCTGTTCCAGTTCCTTGATCGTCGACTTGGAGACATTGTTATCATCGGGTGCTACTAAGGATCTGGGGACCTCGATATCATTTTCCTCATCCGTTAAGTGTTCCTCTCGTTTCTCCGGCTCGGTGGGGGTCGGATTGATGATTGTTATTTGGTGCTTTTCTCTTCGACTAGTCCCTCACCTTTTGATGTTGTGATTGTGGGCACTGGGATCACTTCCTCGACAACGAACATCTCCTTTATGCTCGGTTTTTCCCCGTAGACCATTTTGATTCTGCCCGGGGTTGGAAACTTCAACACCTGACGCAAGGTCGAACGCACAACTCTCATGTTGTGGACCCATGGACTCCCGAACAAGGCATTATATCTCATGTCCCCCTCGATTACGTAATTTTTTTTTCCTGGGTGGTCCCTGCTGTGTTTATCGATAGGGTTATTTCACCCTTCGTAGTCTCCCATGCCATGTTGAACCCGTTCAATACTTGTACTGCCGGTACGATTTGGTCCAATAACCTTAGTTGTTCTACGACTCTCAGTCGGATGATGTTGGCTGGCTACCTGGATTAATTAACACATGCTTAACTCAAGATTTATTAATAAGTAAAGATATTACCAATGCATCGCTGTGAGGTTGAATGATGCCCTCGACGTCTTCGTCTCTGAACGAGATGGACCCCTCCAGAACGTAGTCTCGAGTGTGTTTTTCCCTTGTGGTAGAAACTTTGGTGCGTTTTATCATCATCCCCTGTGGTACATCTAGTCTCCTGATGATCATGTTGAACACATGTTGAGGTTCTTCCTGCTCCATTTGTTTGTTGGCGTCCCTATTATTGAAATGATTTTTGGCTCGCTCACTTAGGAATTCCTGAGGATGCCCATTACTGAATAGACAAGCCACTTCTTCCCTTAGCTGTCAACAATCCTCGATCCTGTGATCATGATATTTATAAATCAAGTTGTGATCCCTTTGTGCGGGATCAAACTGGAGTGGCCTTGGCCATCTGGTCTCCTTGATGCGCATGATGGCTGACACTATACTCGTTGCATCCACGTTGAAGTTATGTTTTGATAGTTCACTCTAGGGTAAATAGACCCTAAGGGAGCTCCTAGCTAGTCGTCCTCGACTTTGATCTTTGACTTGTACCAGTTGTGAATATTGGTAAGCTTCAATAGTTGAGAAGCAACAAAACTTCGGGGGTTGAGTCCTTGAGTAAATGCTAAATGGCCCAATCATCTGCAACCGAGGGCGGGTCGATCAGTTCCATCCGGAATATCGACACGAACTCCCTAAGAATTTCGTTGTCCCTTTGCTTGACTTTGAAGAGGTTCTATTTCCTCGTCTCGACCTTGATAGCACCATCATGGGCTTTAACGAAGGCATCTACAAGCATAGCAAATGAATCAATAGAATTTGGAGGAAAGCTATGGCACCATATCACTGCTTCTTTGGATAAGATTTATCCAAATTTATTCAACAACACCAACTCGATCTCGTCATTTCCGAGGTCATTGCCTCTGATTGCTGCACGTGTAGGAGGTTACATGCCCATTTGAATCTGTGGTCCCATTATATTTGTGAATATCGGGCATCCTAAACCTCTTTGAAATTGGCTTTGGTGCCATACTCGGGGGAAAAGGTTTCTGAATAAACTTTTTTGCATCCGATCCTTTCAATATTGGAGGCGCTCCCTAGATCTGATCGAACCTTGAATTGTAAGTCTCCACCTTCTTGTCATCTGCCTCTATCTTCTTTTTGCAGGACTCCACCTGTTTTGTTAGTGCTTCAAGCATTTTCATCACCTCGAAAATCTCTCCGTGTCCGAACCCATCTAGTTCTGTGACAATTCGTTCGTCTCTCCGAGCATCTTCTCCAACCTACTCGGGTTCGGCTGTGTTGCTGCGTGATTTTGGCCCTGCAGCTGTGCTATTTCCACTTGCTGAGCTTGTAACATTTCAAAAACCTATCGTAAGCTAACCCCATCACCTCCACCTTCGGGCTCTTCTCGTGCTGATGGTCGGGGTGCCCCGCGAATGACATTTTCAAGATCAATTAGTAGGTTGATACTGATGACAACCTATAAATTAGTGTTAGCCCCACGGTCGGCGCCAAACTGTTTACCCTTAAAATGAGTAACAATTGAATGTGTATGTGGTTTAAAGAATGCATGATTTAATTTAACATGAATTATCTAAGAAAAACAAATAATTGAATTAAATAGAAACAAAACGATCAAACCAAACGTGATGGAGCAATTAAGCCTGGCTTTAAGCTGAACGCTGAAACTGATTCTGATCAAGCCTTCGAGACGGACTCGGTTGTATCTTAAAGAAAAGACTAACTGAAGAACACTTTGAATAATAGCTAGAAGACAAAAATGAACTTTATTGCTTTGATATGCGTGCCAACAGTGGTTGAAAAATAAAAAGGTTTCCCGTTTATATAGTAGGGGAATTTCAATCCTAGTACAAATCTAAATAAGGTAAAAATCTTTCTCATCTAGTAAATTATGATCTGCATTATCGGGCGAGATTCGTGCCATAATATTCGGTTGATGGCGGATATTTTGGCCTAGTTCGTTCTCTCTAACCGTCTTCCCTTTGGTCTCGGTTTTTGTTTTGCTTGAGCTCGATCCCTCTCATCTTTGGCCGTGTCCGAATCTTGGTGCATCATTTGTTCCCCCTATTCTCTGATCTGGGGAGACCTTGGCTTTACCCGAGACTGCGTCAAACCACGTCATCTTCCCATTTCTTCATCTTGAAATTGGGGGTATTTTTATCCCTGATTTCTTTAGTTGTAAAGTTGCTGTAAATGAAATTGGGGGTATTTTTATCCCAGTCATCTTCCAATTTCTTCAGCTGTAAATTTGTTTCCTGCACACGCAACAGTGGGGACAGTGCAGCAGTCAACTTTATGGGAAATGCCCTTGTACCAAACATGCTTGCATCATTCAAGTGATGTCATCTATGCAATATTAACATTGAAGCAAAGGTAAAACATCAAACACACATTCAAGAATCCATCAAGCATTCTCTGAAGTGATCAATCAATCTGACAAGTGATTCTCAAGGGCATCAAGAACAAAGAACAACATAACGATGGACTAGTTCCCTGTATTGAGTCATTACATGTCCTTAGTTGTGTTGCACCTTTTTTTAAAGTACTTTACTTGTAATTGCTACTTTAGCTTAGTTAGAAGCATTGTGTAGGAAACCTTTGTAAAATCATAAATCATTGTGTTTTTGTCTTGGCTAGAGTTAGTTGAGTTGTAAGCTTTGTAATAGAGTTATTACAAATGGGCTTGTAGTAGAGTTGTTACAAGTTAGTGAGGGATTAAGAGGGTAATTCCTTGGTTACAATAGGTTGTAATATGAAGTTTTCTCGGTAGTGAAGTTGAAATCCTACAAGGGTAGGTCGTGGTTTTTAATCCCGTGAGCTGGGAGTTTTCCACGTAAAACACCATTGTGTCATTTACTTACTGAAGTGTGCGTGTGTTCTTTGGGAACTGATAGAGAACATGGTTCTCTATATAGTTTGGTGGACCCTTAGTTTCTATCAATTGGTATCAGAGCAGGTTCTTACTATCAGGCTAACACCTAGAAAGGATCCTCATGGCTACTCCACCAAACTTTGAAGAAGGACAATCTACCTACAGACCACCAAGATTCGACGGCTAATACTATGGATGGTGGAAGACAATGATGTATGATTTTATCATGGCTGAAGATTCATAGCTTTGGGATATTATTTGCGATGGACCTTTCGTTCCTAAGAAGACCATTGGAGACCCAGCAGTGACAGTTCCCAAAATAAGAAAGGAAATCAACAATACTGACCGCAAGGTTATAGAGAAGAACTTTCGAACAAAGAAAATCCTCGTATGTGGTATTGGACCAGATGAATACAACAGGATTTCGGCATGTCAATCTGGGACGCTCTCCAAACAACTCATGAAGGGATAACACAAGCAAAGCAATCGAAGATTGACATGCTAACCACAAGTATAAGCTTTTCAGGATGAAGGATGATGAGTCCATCCAGGATATGCACACTCGATTTACATCTATCATCAATGAGCTTCACTCCCTGGGAGAAATTATCCCCAGGAACAAACTTGTCAGGAAGATACTTAGTGTATTACCTGGTTCTCGGGAAAGCAAAGAAAATGCTATCACAGAGGCAAAAGATCTGCAGAAGCTGACCATTGATGAACTTATTAGCAATCTGAAGACTTATGAAATGAAGAAGAAGAAGAAGGATAATGAGATAAGAGAGCCCAAAAGGGAGAAGAACCTGGTCCTTAAGGCGGACAACAATGACTCAGGTGGTGAGGATGCTGATATGGCTTACCTGACAAAAAGATTTCAGAAAATGGTTCGCGGAAATGGAGGTATTCCAAAAAGGGGCAGCTCCAGCAAGCCAAAAGGTTATGACCTATGTCATAAGTGCGTAAGCCAGGATACTTCATCAAGGATTTCCCTCTCCTCAAGAAAGATCAGTACAAACACCACACAGACAAAGCAGCTAAGAGGAACCCGGTTCCTGACAAATGATTCAAGAGAAAATATGCCACTGACAATATTGTGAAACAAGCTCATGCTGCATGGCTACTCTTCCAATGATGATTAAGGTGACAGCTCCATGATGGCAGTGGAAAGTGAAGCAGCTGAGTATGACTCTTGACAGCTCCATGATGGCAGTGGAAAGTGAAGCAGCTGAGTATGACTCTATCTTTGCCCTGATGGCAAAATCTGACGATGATGAGGATGTGGTAAACTTTCTAGATGTTCAAAGAAATCTGAAGTCTTATTCTCCGAAAAAACTTATGTCTTTGGCAAATGTTTTAATTGAGGCTTATCATAGTCTTATAAATGATAAAAATGCATTAACTATGGAATTAGGAGCAGCAGAACATGAAGGAGATGATCTAGTAGTCATTGTGGTAGATCTAAAAGAAACCATTGAGAGTATGAAGAAGGAAAAAGATGTCTTAACTGAAAAATTGCAAACATATAACATGAGAGAGATGATCTATTGGTTGTTGTGGTCGATCTAAAAGAGACCATTGAGTGTTTTATAAAGTAGAAAGAAGCTTTAACTGAAAAGGTTTCTAACATAGAGCATGAGAGAGATGACTTATTAGTAGTCGTTGTAGACCTAAATGAAATAATTGAGGAACTAAACGGATAAGGTAGGCATGAGATTATTCAAAAGGGAAAGGAAGTTGCAAATGAGGCACATCTTAGGCTTGAAGATGAGCTAAAATCAGTGAAATCTAGTATGTGTGCCGAACTCGAGAAAAACAAACAACTTCAGGAAGATCTAGGTAGAGTTAAGAGTGATCTTGAAAAATCACTCAAGTGGACCTGGTCCTCTGATTCTATCACTGCCATGTATATGAACAATGGCGGAAATAGGCAGGGAATCGGGTTCTAAAGGGAAAAGAATCCCTACAACCCTCATAGCAAGTACGTTATTGTTCCTGATAACTGGCTCTGCACTCACTGTGGTAACATTGGGCACTTTAAGGAAACCTATAAGGCCAGATTTCAGTTTCAATGGAAAAACAAAGTTTTTGCTAAAAAGGTAACTACTGCTAGAGAACCTGGTCCCTCATATAAAAAAACATGTGATGCCTGCTTGGACCAAAATAGCCCTTATTCACCCCTTTTCTCATTACAAGGGACCCAAACTTGTTTGGGTTCCTAAGTCTAACCCTTGATTTCTTTGTGTAGGGAGCAGTGAAAGGGAGCAGCCAATAATGGTACATGGATAGTGGCTGCTCGAAGCACATGACTGGAAACACAAATGATTTCCTTTCACTGAAGGCCCTGCAAGGAGGGAGTATGTCCATTGAAAACGGCAAAAAGGGATACATTCTAGGAGTTGGAAGGATTGGGAAATCTCTTTCTCACTCAATTGAAAATGTGTACTATGTGAACAGGTTGAAGTACAGCTTGATGAGTGTTCCCCAAATATGTGACAAGGGAAACAAAGTGGAATTTGTATCAAAGATATGCACAGTCACAAATCTTGTGACTGGTGAAGTGGTTTTAGTGGCTAAAAGATACAAAACTATCTATGTTGCTGAATTTGAATCCTTGCAAAATGGGGATCTCAGCTGTTTGAGTGTTGTTGATGGTGATGCCGAACTATGGCACAGAAGGGTGGGTCATGCAAGTTTTATGTTGCTGAACAAATCGGTCAAGAAGGACCTGGTTCGTGGTTTGCCCAAGTCAAGCTTTAAGGATCACACGTTGTGTGATGCATGTGTAAAAGGAAAGGAAGTCAGATCTTCTTTCAAGCCCAAAAAGGAAGTTAGTACCTCAAGGCCACTTGATCTCCTTCATATGGATCTATGTGGACCTATGAGGGTGCCAAATAGAGGAGGAAATAGGTACGTCTTCGTTATAGTGGACGACTATTCCAGATTCACCTGGACTCTATTTCTCAGAACCAAGGATGAAACTTTTCAAGTATTTGCTGCATTTGTGAAGAAGATCCAGGTGAAGATGATCCATAATGTAGTATGTATCAGGTCTAATCATGGGACAAAATGTGACAATTCCAAATTCGACGAATTATGTACTGAAAATGGCATCACTTATAATTTTTCAGCTCCAAAAACACCTAATCAACATGGTGTTGTGGAAAGGAAGAATAGGAGTCTTGAAGATATTGCGAGAACAATGTTGATTGACGATTGTATTGAAAAAAGTTTCTGGGCAGAAGCCGTCAAAACTGCATGCTACTTGGTGAACAAGTGCATGATCAGGTCCCTCCTGAACAAAACCCCATATGAATTGCTGAACAGAAGGAAGCCCAAGCTGACACATTTAAGGACATTTGGCTGTAAATGTTTTGTTCTCAACAATGGCAAGGAAACACTTAGAAAATTCGATGCCAAAAGTGATGAAGGAATCTTTCTCGACTATTCATCACAAAGCAAAGCCTACAAAGCATACAACAGACGAACTCAATGTGTTGAGGAAAGCATAAATATGGTCTTTGATAAATCTCACCACTCATGTGGAAAAGATGCACATGATAAGAGTGATCAAGGCGGAGAACAGTCAACTGTCCCTGGTGAAATCATTGACATGGCAAATGAAAACATTGACATGATGAGCCACATCAAGGAATCAAACGAGGATGGTGTTGATACCCAATTTTTCCCTATATATTTTAAATATGCATAAAAGCCTTCAAAATAGTATATACATGCATATATAAGCATGCACAAGGCTTTCATTATTTTTCCATAATTTTAAGGGTTTAAATTGATTCATTTTCTCCCTTTTTATCCATAAAATCCCCAATAATTATTTCCAAAATTAGTGTTTTGATAATTCATTTATTTGATTTCTATACTTATGCCAAAATATGGCTAGTATAATTTTTATGTATTTTTACAATTACATTTAGTATTTTCAAAGCTAAATTGCATATAATTGCAATGTTAGCCCTTTTTAAAATATAATTATATTTTATATGTGTAAAATTGACCCTTATATTTTTAAAATGTTAATTAGGTATGTTAAATCATTTTGGCACCTTGAATTATTTTCCAGAAATTGCTTATTATTTATCAAAATTAAAATAGGGAAAAACTGGCTATTTAAATAATAGCCAAATTTGGCTTTCAATTATAGCCCAAATCGGACCGCAATCCCAGCCCAATTTTATACCCAATGCCCCGACCCAGATCCAATCACCTTTCCTTTTAATTTCCAAACGACCCCTAGCCCTACTCACTTTCCAAATCCCTGCCACCCTCAAATGCTCTCATTTTCTCTCCTCTCTCAAACCTAACCCTAGACTCCGTCAAACGCCTCTTTCTCCGGTCATCTCCGGCGACTACCCTTTCAACCCAAGCCTCCAATGAGTCTCTCATCGCCTTGAAACATCATCTCTATGACCTTCAAGGGTCTTGGGCCATGCCGATTTGGACTTAGGGTTTCTGTTTCTGTTATTTATGGCTTCTCTAGTGTGATTTTGGGAAAAATCACACCTTATATGTTACGATCGCTGAAGTCTGCAACAGGTTCTTTCGATTTCTATTTGGGTTTCCCTTTGAAACCCTAACTCTCTTCTGAATCTCTCAGATCTGTGTTATTTTTACACTTTAAGCCTATTTCCTTCTATGATTTGCTTATTTTCGAGCTTCTTCTGAAAGATCCTCCACTTTAAACCATCTTTACTTTCTTTGAAAAACTAGGGTTTCTCGGAAATCCTTCTACGCTTGTTTTAATCGATTTCCTTAGGATTAAACCCTTTTCCTTGCTTATTTTTGACAAATTTTATGCTCCTACTATTTTTTTAACTCGACTCTGTTAAAGCCCTAATTTTTAAGATTTTCTTTGCTTTGGTTCTATGTGTTAGCATGATTTCCTTCGCCTTGGTTCTGTGTGTCAGCATGATTCTCTTCGCCTTGGTTCTGTGTGTTATCCTGTTTATTTGATTCTTGTTAATCTCTCGTGGTCACCATGCTTCGAATATGTTCTGCTGAATCTTTTGCCTGCTTATATCCCATCTATATGATTGTGTTTGCTCATCTCTTATTTCTTTCTGTCTATATGGCTGACCTTGTTCATTTGCTACTCCTGTTCATTCGTCTCTATTTATATGTTGAACATATAGAATCATGACTCCCTCTTGATTGATTTTGATTTTCTTAATTAATGGAGATTGAAAGATTTTCTTTTAAAGCCTTACAAGCTTTACCCCGTCTGTTTAAGCTGACTGATTTCCTTGCCATATTTGCTATGATACTTATTTCTACTGAGTTGTGTCCTTAATTAAGGCTTTATGAATTTGGTCCTAATCGGCTACTCTATGCATATTGAACCTTGACTCCTTCCTTATTTAGTCATGCATTGATTTTTCTTCTTGCCTTGTATGATATTGAATCTCCCCGTTTGATTTGATTCCCTTAACTTAAGGGAGTACTTCCTTGATTCTCTAATTGATGGATTCTGAGTTCTTAAAGTAGTATACTACTATGATTTTTACCTTATTTCACTACCTACTTTCAACTATAAATACTCTAAGTCTTTTCACAAACAAGAGACGGGACTTGACTTTCAAAAACTCCTCTCTTATTAAAAATCTATGTTCTCCCTTCTTCCTTGTGTTATTTTGCTACTATTAGCCGGCTGCAAGCCAAGGCTAATCATCTGTGCTATTTGGTTCCTTCATTCTACTTGCTTCTATCTTTACTGGTATGTCCTAGTTTAATTTAAAGCCTCAACAACAACATGTTTCTCTTATTTTTTCAGTTTCTTTTATTCCTAGCCTACTTTGACTTGTGGTTCTGTTGTGGAGTTTCTGGTTAGGTTATATTATCAGCATGCTAGTATGACTCCCTCCCTTTAAATTCATGTATTCCCTTGTGTGATTCGAGCATGCCTAGACAATTGTTTCTTTTACCTACTGTGTGCTTACCATTCTTATGAATCCCAAATCCCTATCCCCCTCTATGTGTTTATGTTCTCCCTGATTAGTTTGTAATCATTCCAGTTTCAACTATTTCTGAGCATGTCCAAACCAGTCCAAATTACTCTTTCCTGGGGTTGTGTGTTTGCAGTCAAATGCTTGTGTATCCCCAAGCCCTTTGACCCCTGTGTGACTACTGAACTCATTTGGGTTCTGTGTGTGATCCTATTCTAAAGTGTTTGATTTTGTTTATCACTCCAACCTCTTTCAAACAACCTCCATTACCTTACTGACTGCTTTCAAAACAAACATTTAAATCCAGTCTTTAATAGATTTCTTTCAACTTGTGTCCTGCACTTCCACTTTACTCTTAGTCAATAAGTTTTGCCCCCTCTAGTATGTGTACTACCTTGGTATCCTCTTGAGAGCCCTCTGAACTCTGGCATACTGAGGTTGGCTTTTCCACACTGCACTGGTTCAATTCTTGGTTGCTAAGTCTAGGTGAAGCATTGCCCGGGGTTTTTGAGGCCCTTAGGGAACTTTGATGCACCTAGACTCTGATTTGTCTATGGAATTGAGGCTCATGAGACAGATTGGAGGCTTTGGGAAACTTGGGCCTAAGTGCAGGCTCTCTATAGAATAGCTTCTTGATTTTTTATTTTTACTTATGTAATTCATTTATTGGCATGTAATAATTTCTAAACAGATATTTGGGGTATTTAGTAAAAAGGGTGGGTAGATGTATACTTCGTGGGGTAACATGGGTGGAAATCCCGCTCTTAGGGTTTATTTTTAAATCTGCTTGTTTTACTCAATAGAAAACATGTCCATAGGGTTTTTATTCTTGTTGAATCTGATTGCTTTTTGCATAGTAGAATCATGCCTATAGGATTCCACTTTTAATTTCATTTGCATCATAATAGAGAATCATGCCTATAGGATTCCTCTTCTAATTTCATTTGCATCAAATAGAAATCATGCCTGTAAGGACTTCACTTTTAATGTCGTTTGTAACAGATAGAAACCATGTTCATAAAATTCTGCATTTGTCATGTTAGAAACCATGTTTCTAGGTTCCAAGCCATCATGTCTTAAATCAATTCAAATATAGATACCATGTCTATAGGGTCTAATTCCGATTCAGTTCTAATAAGTCTTTCATATGTTACTGCCAATTGACTAAAACCTATAACGTGCCAAGATACCATGCCTGTAGGGATTTCCATTTGCAATTACGTCTGGTAATCTAATTAGCCTAATAAGTCAATTTCACCTCGCCTAGTTTAGCTCTTAAAACTGGTCTTATTAAGCGATATCATTTCCTAAAAATAATTCTTTCAAAATTGCTTTGATCACATTAGATATCCTGCCTACGGGTATTAAAGAGGTCTATTTCGAAAACTGGTTGGTTTTTGCATTAATATAGACACAGTACTGCATATAGGCAAGCCTTGAGGCATTTTCAAAACCTGCATTTCCTTGAAGTCTTTTCCGTCGTTCAACGTTTCTGATTCTAATAAACTGTTAAAAGGAGTCCTTAGGCAATTACTAGGTTATAACTTGTGGATCTAAAAGTGGTTTATTTCTACATAATCACTTGGAAATCCTGCTTTAGGACTTTGTTTAATGAAGACCTTAATTGTGCTTGAGACGTGCTGTTTGTATGTATGTTTGAGGAGGAAACTGTGAGCCTCTTAATTGCTCCCATTATGTGAAAGTCCTAAATGTTTTTTGACTATCGCCTTAGATTTTTGCCTTTAAAACCTTAGGGGTACGTCTATAACCACCTATAGGTAAAGGTCCTTACTCCCTCCGGGACCATTAAGAAGGGACGGGTAGCAGCACGCAATAGGTATCAGTGACCAAACACTCGCTTTGCATGACCTATAAGGGGATGGGAAGGGTAGACATGGGATATGATGACTACGCGTTAATGCCACGTGTAGCCCCTCATTGAGGAGTGTCTACTGGACATTGCGTGGGGTGATCCTACAAGATAAACAACCTAGGACCCCTCCTTACCCAAAACCCTCTCCCCGTTTTAAAACTTTGTTTTTTTTAATTTGTTCAAACTTCTATTTCACTACTTGAATTGTTCAATGTGCTTTACTAACAACTTATCTGATTCAACTATTTGTATGGACTAATTTGTGAATATAAGTTCGGCTGGGACCCACAGTTGTGGACCAAGAGGGGTGCCTAACACCTTCCCCTCGAGGTTACTTCGAGCCCTTACCCTAATCTCTGGTAATGCAAACCAACCCAAGAGTTAATTACTCTAGGTGCCCTAACGCACCTTAAATCGTTAGGTGGCGACTCTTCAAATACCCAATTCCCAAAAGGAAATGATTCATTACACCCCGTGAATGTCGAGACCCAGACCTCTCCCGCGCGGAGGAAAAACGGGGCCCGACAGCATGGCGACTCTGCTGGGGATTTTAGGCTCTTACCATAACAAACTTATGAATTAGTCCAAGCATGCTTTATCCCGTACCCTTCTTCCTTATTTGAATTTGACTGTCTATTCTGAGCATTTTTGATTCCTTTATTATTCGGAAAACTGACTTGTCTCTTTGTTTTCCTTTTTCTGTAACCGTCTTTTCAATTATTTAAATGTTGTATTTATCTTCCCTACGTGAAAATACTTGCCTATATGTTATTAATTGCTGCATAAATTATGCTCCGCATCATATTCCACTCGTGCGTCTCAAATCCTATAGCAACGCTTTAATAAGTGGTTGCGCTCTTCCTATTTACTACCCTTAAATTAGGAAAGGCTTATTTGCAGTAAAACCAGTCGATCAGCGATGCAATCGATGGTTCTGTGCCTTCCCCCTCAAGTTGTCCGCTTGAGGGTATCAGTCTAAAACCTCATAGAAACCTTACTCTATTTAAATTGTGCATGCATCATGGTCAAACCTAGTCGGATCAGTTATGTTGTCCATGTAATGATCCTTTAAGATAAGCCTTATTCAAATTCCATCGAGTTTTCCATAATCCCAACGGACGCATCCACGTTTTGTGCATTAATTTGGAGAACTAAATGCCGATATGCTGATCATAAATGTATAAATAGTCGAGTCCGGTGGGGGTAAGGCCTAACCCTTTGTTTTGCACAAAATGAGGCACGAGGTCCCCAGATTCGGTATGGTCAGCAATATCCCTCCATCGTTTCTAGATTGGTGGGAAGATCTCTCCTCAAGTGACAAGAAGCACGTGAAAAAGCACTTGGGTAACTTGCCGTCTCTGCTATATATTGAGCCAAACAACAAATTGATTGAGGCCGCTACTCTATTCTGGGATAGTGAAAGAGAGTTGTTCCGTTTCGGTGACATAGAAATGACGCCGCTTCTAGAGGAAATAGGAGGACTTGCAGGGTTAACTTGGGACAGTCCTGGGCTTTTGGTGCTAGAAAACCGTACGCGCAGGGGATTTCTGAAGATGATGGGGCTGAAAAAGAATGTCGACCTAGTGTGCTTAAAAGACTCCTACACACCTTTCGAATATCTCTATGAGAGGTATGGCCATAGAAAGTCTTTCCGCACTTACCATGATGAGATCACCCTCACTTCATTGGGTCATATCCACTGCAGGGTATTCGTGTTCATCGTGTGCTTTCTGGGGATGATAGTATTCCCGGTGAAAAAGGGAAGAATCCACACTAGGTTGGCCATGGTCGTCAAAACTCTGATGGAGGGGATTAATGGACAGGCCTATACCATAGTCCCTATGATCATAGCTGATATCTACAGGGCCTTGGAGCGCTGTCAAAGAGGGGTCCAGCATTTCAAGGGCTGCAACTTATTGTTGCAGTTATGGTTGTTGGAGCATCTCCAAAAGGGTCGCTATCGCCAAGAATTTCCACGAAGGGCTTGGAATGACCACATTGCTTTCCATCACCCTAAGCAGATGACCTACATTCCGGATAGATTTGCTCAGCCGGAAAGTGCCAGTGAATGGTAGAGTTCTTCGACAGTCTGACCGAGGAACAGGTGCAGTGGATGATTGAATGGTTTCCAACGGACAAGTTTATTATCAGGTCCAGGGATGCTCCGCATTTGGTGTTGATCGGGATGAGAGGGATATATCCATATGTCCCTATGCGA